GAAAGGAAAGGAAAGGAAAGGAAAGGAAAGGAAAGGAAAGGAAAGGAAAGGATGATGGTTCCCATCTATAAACCAGATCTTTTTCTCCTCCACCTCCCAGAAGGATGTGGAATTGGCTCACACACATACCTTGCACAGTTAGGTGCACCTGCATGGTCCTGGGGGTGTGCTGGGTCTGCACGGAGCAAGTGTAGGGCCCATCGTCGGTCACATCCACGTCCTGGATCTGCAGGCTGTACTCCCTCCTGTTGGCTGTGGCAATGGAAACCCGGGGATCCACAGACCACTTGTCACTGCCAGCAAAGATAATGCTCGACCGGTTCAGCCAGGCACCTTTAGAGGCTCCATCTTCCAAGTAACACCTGGGAAAAAAGTGAAACCATCAGGATGAAAATGTAGGAGCTGTAAAGTCCCATGCACTGCTACTGATTTTTAGACTGAACACAACTATAATATATCAGAGTTGAACCTCAAACTATGAATCAATTATAAATTCAAAATCATCCTAAATCCAAAAGCCCATCTTACAACACAATAAACACACACATATTTTTCTGTTCTCTTCTTTCTTTCTGGTTTTCCTGCTGGGAAAGGTTAGTGGAGCAGTAGCAAGAAAGTCTCAGTTATTTCTGACTGGGCTGGATCAGCCCTTTCTCCTCCAGCCCTGGTCTGTGAGGATCAGGAGCACCATGTGTTCCCATGAAAAATACTGCCCTGTTCCTAAGGCACAACCACCTCCTGCTTGCTTAGTGAAGGAACCAAGAGACTTCTTCCACCAAAATATATAAGGACACTGTAGAATCCAAACAATTTTTTTTCTCTTTTCAGAGAGTTCATGGAATCACAGAATCAGGGAATTGTTTGGATTGAAGGAACCTTAAAGCTCATCCAGTTCCACCCCCTGCCATGGGCAGGGACGCCTTCCACTAGACCAGGTTGCTCCAAGCCCCATCCAACCTGGCCTTGAACATTCCAGGGATGTGGAACTGCTGTCCCTCCCAACCCAAACCAGTCTGGGATATGATTCTCTGAAAACCAGTAAAGCCCAGCAGTGGCTGGAAAGGGATGGGATAAAAGAACAGGGAAAACATGTGGGAAGAGCTTTATTTCCTGAGCTGATGGAGAGACTGAGCCAGTCTGCAGCGAGGTTAAGGATATTTAATGAGGAATCAACACCCACTGCACACTGTACTCCAGGTTTCCATGAAGAAGGTGGCATCCAGCATTGGGAAAAGGCAGAGATGGAGTAATGGCAGAGAAAAACCTTGATGGACTCAGGTTTGAGAGTAGGAATCTGCAAATCCAGGAGTAATCTGAGAGTGATGCTGTAGGATTGGAAAATCTGTATTTCTTTCCATAAATTTAAGGAACTGTGGAGAATGAATGAGGCAGATTTTAGGCTCACCACCATGCCCACATTGGGAATGCAGGCTTTAAAATGACTTTAAAGGCTGAAGGAAGGTAATAAGGAAGGTAATACAAAGTGCAACAGACTAATGGGACATTTTTATTTGATAAAGAGGTTTTCACATAAAGGAAATCCAGCAGAAGAAAGAAATGCAATGGAGCTCATCTCTTTGATGAAACATTAAAATAGCACAACTATAGAAACTGGGAGGGGGAAAATGGTGACTTTGTGGCTTAAGCATCTGGTAGTATTGTTTAAGGGGAAAATGACATTCCTTTTAGGAATAAGAAACTAGAAACATGAGGCTGAAATTCTTCAGAAATGAATCATAAGAATAACCATTCATTTAATTAATGATCTCAACATTAAATCTGAAAGGGTTCTAAGAGAAGATACAACATGGGATAAAAAATCCCCGTTTGTATAGCAGAGAATTGGGATGTCACTGGTGAGTGTCACTTTGAGGTTGAAGAGCACAGCAGACACCTCTGAATCCCTGCAGGAGGAATTCTGTAGGGTCTGGTCCCATCCAGAGAAGGCAAGGAGCCACTTTTAAAGTCTTATGAACATTTTCAAATCGATTCTAATCAACAGCAGAGTAGGGAGAAGCAGAGAAAGCTCTAATTCACTGATGTTTTTCTATACCGTGTTTCTTTTCTGCTGCTGTCTCTGCAGAGCTGGATCCAGTCAATTACAGAAATTCTGACAACCTGGGCTGGTGGAAGGTGTCCCTGCCCATGGCAGGGGTTGCAATGGGATGATCTGTAAGGTCCTATCCAATCCAGGCTCTTCTATGATTCTGTGATTGTCCAGGCCCTGATGAAGCATGTGGTGGTGGTATGTGAGAACATCTGTTTCAAACTAAACATTATCTCCAAATAAGGTGTTTTGCAAACAGATTAAATATTTCACCTAAGACAGGCTCCTTCAACAGCCCAAAGCTCTCCTCTCTTTACTTACTCAAGCCCGATCCGTGTTCCCTCAGGCTGTGGGAGTGAAGTGATTTGGAAATGCTGCAGAATTTGGCTGGAATGTTTTGCACAGGATGGCTTTCAGATCCAGCAGCAGCCAATGTGCTGTATTTTCCCACCATGCATGTGGGATGCGATGGATAAAGTGCATATTTACTCCATGGAAGCAGCAATCAAATGATTCATCTCAGAAATGTTTTCTAATCTAACAAATTTAATCCCTTGCAGTTTGCAAATCACTTTTCAGTTCTGAAAACACAGTTATTCCCTAAAACTGTTCCACAGGCAGCTCTGAGACCACGTCCCCCCATGTGAATCCCTGAACAGCAGAGGCCACGCTGTAGTTACTGCTGGGGAACAATTAAGAAATAAGAACAATTAAGGATTTGCCCCCTTTAAACAATGGTTTGGCTCTTCACCCCCATACCTTTACAATCTCCTGTGAAAGAGCAGCCTTTCACATATGGATTGTGTGACATGTGGATGTGGATGAACAATTGCAAAGAATAAACACTGAGATCAATAAAAACACCAACCCCAGGCAATTCCATGGGATCTGAGCAGCACACATGGACTCTGTGACACCCCAGCCACCTTCATACCTAAGATCTGCCTGTCTCTGTGCTCCTCATTGCTCACAGGGTTCACCACTGGACAAATGGCTTCATTTTAATTAAGAACACTGGGTTTTACACTATTTTTTAAGCTGCAGATAAGAAATGGTAACTCTGTATTATTTTCGGTGTACCAACATGAACATGGCATGGACCTGTGTCAGGAGAGGTCTAAACTGGATATCAGGAAAAGGTTCTTTCCCTCGAGGGTGGCTGGGCACTGAACAGGCTCCCCAGGGCAGTGGTCACAGCATCAAGGCTGACAGAGCTCAAGGAGTATTTGGACAATGCTCTCAGAGACAGGGATTGTTGGGGTGTCCCGGGCAGGGTGAGGAGCTGGACTGAATGATCCCTGTGGTTCTCTTCCAAGTCAGGATATTCCATAATTCTATGATATCTGGAAATACATTGGCTCTTCTGACTGAAACCCTGCAATGGTGCAGCTCCTACAAGAAGATGGGGCGTGGAGCAACCTGGTCTAGTGGAAGGTGTCCCGGCCCATGGCAGAGGGTTGGAATGAGATGAGATTACAGTCCCTTCTGACCCAAACCATTATGGGATTCTATGAACTGCCTGCTGTACAGACACACTGTCCGTGTCCAAGCCCCTTGGACTGGGGGATCAGAGCACACTTGGTGACAACCTCCTCGTGAGTGAGGACTGGGGAGGAAAGGCAGCTGTGAAGAGGCAAGGACCCTTCAGAGCAACCCAGTGAGGAGTTCAGGGCCCCCAGCTGTGTGGAACCTGACTGCACCTTGCCGTGCAGCCTGGGCAGTGAGATGCCCACATTCAGTGCCTGGAGTGCAACTGCACAGCGCTGCCCAAAGTCCTCCCTGAGAACCTCTAGTTCCTTAAGGGTGCAGCAGGAAAGCTGAGCAAAATGTGTTACAAACCCTAAAACAGTAATAGCCAAGTGAAGATTTAATAAAACCCTCAAATTTGGGTTTGTGCTCTGGAACAATTTGCCCATTTGATCTTCCAAACCCCTCAGGGAGCTCAAACATGAGTTTTCAGCCAACACGAGACATGAGGCTGAGCAGAGCTTTGATTTTATGGGAAGCTCCGAGGAGCTGGCAGCCTTCCAGCACAATCCCTCGGGATGAGGCTGAGCCTCAAGTCAAGAGCCCAACTCCTGTTGTGAGTGCCATAAATACATTAATAATGACCCCAGACCAAGGTACACACAAAGTCTGTGGGATACCAGCACTGAAGGCCCACAGTGACGGGACCAGGACTGTGGGACCCGGGGAACATCATTGCCTATCACTGGGAGACAACTCAAGCTAAAGAATGCTGAGGTTTAATAAAGTCCAAGATTAAAACATTTCCTCTGGTAATCTATGGGAAATAATTTATTTAAAAGCAAATATCAGTGGCCCTCCCTCTCTTCTCCCTTTCCCTCTCTTCCCCCTTTTCTCTCTTTCCTTGAATTCTGTTTGTTTTTAAACTCAATGCAAAGCAATTTTTGAAATCTATGCATAGGACTAATTATTTTTAGCAGTTAATAATTACACTCTAGCACAATTAAAGTAAGCATAACAATCATTAAATGAAACTAACTTTTGCTCTTTTTACCTTTACATGGTTTGGAAAACTACTGATGAAACCAGAGCTGAACTCAGAAGAGAATTCTTCTATTTTTAAACGTGGAAGATTGGAAAAAAATACAATTTATTTTTTAACTGATGATTGTAATCAGAAATTCCCTACTCAACAAGCATAAAAAATAGATTTTAATGTTAACTGTCATACATGGCTGAGGGTACTTTATTATTTTTCCAATCATTATTAATGGGGATGATCTGTAATTTGTAAGTACAGAAAAATTGTGTCTCACCCAGCTTCCTTCAAGTTTTTAATTCTCCTTTTTTTTTGTACACCTCCCTCTTTCCCAGCTCTCTAGTCTATTATTTCCCCATAATTAAAACAGAGACCTATTAATCTCTGTAAAAAACAGTTCTTTGCAGTTGCTTAATTAAAGCAGCACATGGGCTCTGTCTCCAGGAGCCTTCGCAGTGCACCAGGGCTGGAGCTCCCAGCTGGTTGCCCCTGAAGGACAATGCATGGGAATGTACATGGAGCCTTCCCACGTTTCATAGAGCACAGGAATATGGGACACTTGTCCATCTCCAAATAGCCTTTGATTCGCTCTGGTTTAAGGACAGTGCTTCTGGATAGTGCTTGGGCAGTGTTTAACAGGAAAATAATCTTAGAATCCCAGAGTGGTTTGGGTTGGGAAGAATCCTAAAGCTCACCCAGTTCCACCCCCTGCCATGGGCAGGGACACCTTCCACTAGCCCAGGTTGCTCCAAGCCCCGTCCAACCTGGCCTTGGACACTTCCAGGCATGGGGCAGCCATAGCTTCTCTG